GAAAACTTGCGTGCGAGATAGACACTGATCACCATATACTTCTGTCAACAAATTGTAAGTTTCAGTGGCAGATTTTCCAAGTTTTGTGAGGAATTTGATGTTAGCACGTTGTTCTGCATTAGCACTCAGCATTATTCCGACGGAGCTCAGAAACACGATCCGCTTCTAACAATGGTCGCGGCCAGACTAACCGATGCACGTGAATGAAACTTTGTGTGACGGTAGAGGGAAGTCCAAGGGTCAATGCCCTACCCTCCTCTTCGTCAATGACGTGGCCGGAAATGAGTCATAAAAGTAATCCGGTTTCTTTATTGCCACACCTTGTAGGTACAGCTCCATCATTCTTAACCTCAGCATTTGATGAAGATGAGTCATCAGCTTCACAACCCTGCCACTTTACCTATAGCCATACATACATACATACATACATGCATCAGCCAACTGACAGTACATATGTTTAGAGTGAAGCATTTGTGACTGCTAATAGGGAAGAAAGTCTGTTGCCTCTAATAAGAAATTCTGAGAACTGAACTAAACTTGGGTAAATTTCCAAAGGCAGAACTATATAAATGAAGTGCAACTTCAGAGAAAACGTGAAATTAACGAAACATAACATCTGTTAAAGTTTAACATTACTGTTTTGGGCATTTGGCCAGGACCATGCAAAAAGCATGTAAATCTACAAAAAACATAAAATCCGGGATTGTAAGTTTGAAGTTTCACTGTACTACCCATCTGTAATCCATATATGGACATTACAGGTTTTAGTGGGTTTGTATAAAATCCTGGAGAAGCCCAATACATTGTCGGACACCAATGTCATGGCCACAGGGGTGGAGGGGGTTGCATGCTGTGCACATCTGCAATAATTTTATCACAACATACAGTAGAACTTGGTTATAACGTCATCGAAGGGACCTAAAAATAGTGTTGTTATAAACGAATGTCGTTGTAACCGAAATGGGCACTTCCACAGTAGCCTTATGTTAGTCACGTAAAAATCTACCAAAAACCGAGTTAAAATGTTGCATTTTTTTAGTGAAATACGTAGTTAAGTACAGACTAACGTAACATTAACGTGGAATTGATATGGATTCTCCATATCGTTTGTACTGTAGAATTCACCAAACCAAATTCGCGGCATACATCAGCTTTTTTCCTTCCATTTTCTATTTCACGAATCACTTTAACTTTCTCTTCAATGCTTAAAGCTTTCCTTTTCATTGCCATGTTTTCGCTACTGCACTTCTCTGGGTTTAGGCAGGAACACTATAGGGTAAGTAGACAATGTGAGGTCCTGTTAGACGAGATTCTAGGAAAGGAATGCAGTTAACAACCTGCCGCGTCCTCTTGCACTATTCACGCAGTCCCACCCCACACCCTTGTTTTCGCATAAAACCCACGCTCCTCTTGCAGCCCGCGGTCGTATTCTTCCAGGACAGTCACGTCAGCAAGTAGAGAAAGTGAGGGTGGGCAGACACATCGAACTTTCCCACGATATCAGAGAAATTCAGGAATGAAAATGACGTTACATACGAGGTTAATGCATTTGTGCATGTCGTACTAAGCAAGGTATAAAAACAGTTGCTTTATGAGGAATTAGTTCGTACCATTGAATATCTGACGCAATAGACAAGGTGTCGCAGAAACCGATGTTGCTATAACCAAGTTTTATTGTATTTAGAAATAAACATTGGTGGCGATATTCCAGATTGCACAGCATCACATTCAAACTGACAGAAATATTCACAGTCACCGCCAAAAGGACTTCAGATCTTCCAGACATAAATCAATGTTGCCCCATGTAAGTCAAACTCACCTGCTTAACTCTTGGGAGGCACTCACATCACACGCCAGGTGTACCTGTGATATGTTGGGATTTGGTGTGCTGAACATCTTATTTTGGGTTAAGCCCCAAAGCCTAACTTCAGAGCCCAATCCAGCCGCAAGTACGTCCACTGCACCCCATGTGTACCCACATCCCACACTGAGGACACAGTACATATAACACATGACACATGATATGTGAGACTAGAGTGTCATAAAGCAGCAGTTCTGATGTGAGGCCCACTCACAAGAAAATGTTCTCTAAGTTGACAGGAAGACTTATTCAGCTATACTGAGAGGCTGGCAAAACAAAAACAAATAACAGAAACATGGTATACACCATCAGAATGTGTGTCATCACCAGTTAGTGACACAGACTATTATGTTCCCATTAGAGAGTTACTGTTCTGATATTTGTAAACTGAAGAGAAATTCTAACATACTCACACAGGACTTTTCTTCCATCAGCTTGCCTACTTAAGGTATGGCACACCCTGGTTCATACAGTAGATGGACTTCACATATTGTGACATTTATACCGACTGCTAGGCAACAGATCAGTAAACACGCCTCCTAAACAAGTGATGTTTTCTGCATAGTTCATGCAATTTGGTTATAAAGGATTCAGCTGAGGAGAGTCTGTTGTTGTCAGAAGCTGAGAGAGTTTAGCTGAAGAAGAGTTCATTTGAGTTGGTTGTTGTCGAGAATTTGGTCAGGTTCTGGAGATGGCAGTCAAAGATGACTTAAAAGAAGTGGCAAGAAATGAATTAGACTGTGTGATGAAGACTTCATGTGTGATTTGAAGTTATAGTGAGACTGTTATAAATCCATTGCCAGAATATTACTAGGGATATCCACCGACCTTAGTGTGTGTGTGTGTGTGTGTGTGTGTGTAAAAGTGAACTGTAAAGCGTATAGACCGGTGACAGCACTATATTGACTGTAGTTCCAATACTGTGTATAAGGTGTCAATAAATCTAATCACCAGGGACCGGATTTATATGGCCTAATAATCCCTTAAATATGTATGCATTTATGCATGAAAAACTTCCGAAATATGCACTGAAATATTCACATAAAAACTTATACCGAATATTAAATTTGATTTTACATTAAGACCAAAAAATCAATACTTAAGTTCATTTTATGAATGATTCACCTGCAACCAAAAGCTATACTTAAATGCAAACCATGCAACAAAGCCAACATATTTCATTACAAATTTAGAAAACCAATGGTACTCACATTTAGCTCTCGAAACTTCCAATTTCTCTTCTGTTGCAGTTCACAATTACTAAATGTTTTAAGTTTTCCATAGTTAGTCACCTCCTGTTGTCTTGTAAGATGTCCTTATAGTGGGAAAACTTCTTTCCACTTGACAGGAACTTAGGGGCGCATATACAAAAGCCGCTATTTGCTCCACTGTTAGTGATTTTTTACTTGGCAGTTCAGTATGTTTACCTGCTAAAATTTCTTCAGTTTCACAAATATGTTCATATCCTGGATTTTTTTAAAGAATGCTGTGTACTTTTTCCTTTACTACTTCACCAACTCTTCCAGGAACAGAATTCAATTTGGAAACAGTGATTTTGAACACACTTAACAAATGATACAAAGTAGTATTGCTATTGCTTGACTCCAGTGAGGAAATGGCGGATGGAAGATGAGAGAAGTGAGCAGATATATAGGAAAGATTAGTTTCTAAATCTGCGTTTTTTAGTACATCTTGGGCAATTTGAATTGATGCTGCACTTTTGGGATCAGATGTATTCACGACATTCCAAACTGTTTCTAAATGTTTGGTATAATAATCAGCTGCACACAGCCACGTGCCCCAGCGCGTTAAAATTGGTTCTGGCGGAAGTGGAACGCTTGGTGCTACTGCTTTAAAGGTTTCTTTTCTGTATGGCTCTTCAACAAATACCCTCTTCACAGAAGACACCAACTTGTCAACAAGCGGAACATTTGCACGAATTGTTTCTGCAACACGGTGCAACCCATGGGCAAGGCAAGTCAAATGTGTCATATTTGGAAATATAACTTTAAGAGCAGTACTGGCTTTGATCACATAACTTGCGACAGCAGTCACAAAGAGCAATACGCGCTCATACTGAATGCCATTCGGCCACAGTAAATTCATGGAATTGATAAAAAATTCGGAAACTGTGGAGCTATTTGCAGTTTCAAATTGCTCTACCGCAAAAAGATATGGGGTAGATTGTTCATTCTTATTAAGGGATCAAACTATACAATTTACAATAAACCGTCTCTCACAATCTTGTGTTTCATCAATTGATACCCACACAAAATTATCTTGAACCTTATCTCTAATGCTATCAATTGTAAGATCGTAACACTGCTTCACGTGATTTTTGTGCACAGTAGATTCATCCGGCACTTTGCTCTGTGTATACTTCTCTACGAAGTTTCTCAGAGTAGGACTGGTTAGTTTTCATAGCACAATATATGCTGCTAAAAAGGCTTCGCATAAATCAAAGGAAAACTGTGAAAAAATATTATTAGAAAATTCACTAAGCAATTTTTTCACAGGAGCACTTTTCGTGGATTTAATTTTAACATTCTCTTTGTGTATATTAGTGTTCAAATGCTGAAGCACTTGAAAGCGTTTTTCACAACCGTTTTCTCACACGCTCGGCAATAAAGAATTTC